GCTACCATCAGTACCTAACATCTGTATAGCTACCATCAGTACCTAATATCTGTATAGCTACCACCAGTACCTAACATCTGTATGGCTACCATCCGTACCTAACATCTGTATGGCTACCACCAGTACCTAACATCTGTATGGCTACTATCAGTACCTATTATCTGTATGGCTACCATCAGTACCTAATATCTCTATGGCTACCATCAGTAACTAATTTATGTATGGCTACTATCAGTACCTATTATCTGTATGGCTACTATCAGTACCTAATATCTGTATGGATATTATCAGTACATAATATCTGTATGGCTTCTATCAGTACCTAACATCTGTATGGCTACCTCCAGTACCTAACATCTATATGGCTACCATCAGTACCTAACATCCGTATGGCTACCTCCAGTACCTAACATCTATATGGCTACCATCAGTACCTTACATCTGTATGGCTACCACCAGTACCTAACATCTATATGGCTACCATCAGTACCTAACATCTGTATGGCTACCACCAGTACCTAACATCTATATGGCTACCATCAGTACCTAACATCTATATGGCTACCATCAGTACCTAACATCTGTATGGCTACCATCAGTACCTAACATCTATATGGCTACCATCAGTACATAACATCTATATGGCTACCATCAGTACCTAACATCTGTATGGCTACCATCAGTACCTAACATCTATATGGCTACCATCAGTACCTAACATCTGTATGGCTACCATCAGTACCTAACATCTGTATGGCTACCTCCAGTACCTAACATCTGTATGGCTACCATCAGTACCTAACATCTATATGGCTACCATCAGTACCTAACATCTATATGGCTACCATCAGTACCTAACATCTGTATGGCTACCATCAGTACCTAACATCTATATGGCTACCATCAGTACCTAACATCTATATGGCTACCATCAGTACCTAACATCTGTATGGCTACCATCAGTACCTAACATCTGTATGGCTACCATCAGTACCTAACATCTATATGGCTACCATCAGTACCTAACATCTGTATGGCTACCTCCAGTACCTAACATCTATATGGCTACCATCAGTACCTAACATCTGTATGGCTACCACCAGTACCTAATATCTATATGGCTATCATCAGTACCTAACATCTATATGGCTACCATCAGTACCTAACATCTGTATGGCTACTATCAGTACCTATAATATGTATGGCTACCATCAGTACCTAACATCTGTATAGCTACCATTAGTACCTAATATCTGTATAGCTACCACCAGTACCTAACATCTGTATGGCTACCATCCGTACCTAACATCTGTATGTCTACCACCAGTACCTAACATCTGTATGGCTACTATCAGTACCTATTATCTGTATGGCTACCATCAATACCTAATATCTCTATGGCTACCATCAGTAACTAATTTATGTATGGCTACTATCAGTACCTATTATCTGTATGGCTACTATCAGTACCTAATATCTGTATGGATATTATCAGTACATAATATCTGTATGGCTTCTATCAGTACCTAACATCTGTATGGCTACTATTAGTACCTGACATCTGTATGGCTACCATCAGTACCTATTGTCTGTATGGCTACTATCAGTACCTAACAACTGTATGGCTACTATCAGTACCTGACATCTGTATGGCCACTATCAGTACCTGACATCTGTATGGCTACTATCAGTACCTTTCATCTGTATGGCTACTCTCAGTACCTAACATCTGTATGGCTACTATCAGTACCTAACATCTGTATAGCTACCATCAGTACCTAATATCTGTATAGCTACCACCAGTACCTAACATCTGTATGGCTACCATCTGTACCTAACATCTGTATGGCTACCACCAGTACCTAATATCCGTATGGCTACCATCAGTACCTAACATCCGTATGGCTACCATCAGTACCTAACATCTGTATAGCTACCTCAAGTACCTAACATCTGTATAGCTACCACCAGTACCTAACATCTGTATGGCTACCATCAGTACCTAATATCTGTATGGCTACTATCAGTACCTAATATCTGTATGGCTACTATCAGTACCTAGCATCTGTATGGCTACTATCTGTACCTAACATATGTATGGCTACTATCAGTACCTAACATCTGTATGGCTACTATCAGTACCTGACATCTGTATGGCTACTATCAGTACCTAACATCTGTTTAGCTACCATCAGTACCTGACATCTGTATTGCTACCACCAGTACCTGACATCTGTATGGCTACTATCAGTACCTGACATCTGTATGGCTACTGTCAGTACCTAACATATGTATGGCTACTATCAGTACCTAACATATTTATGGCTACTATCAGTACCTAACATCTGTATGGCTACTATCAGTACCTGACATCTGTATGGCTACCATCAGTGCCTATTGTCTGTATGGCTACTATCAGTACCTAACAACTGTATGGCTACTATCAATACCTAACATCTGTATGGCTACCATGAGTACCTAACATCTTTCGGCTACTATCAGTACCTAACATCTGTTTAGCTACCATCAGTACCTGACATCTGTATTGCTACCACCAGTACCTGACATCTGTATGGCTACTATCAGTACCTGATATCTGTATGTCCCTTTGTCCGTCTGTTACTGTTAGTTACAGTCACCAATGACATGCAAGCTTTACCATTGCTACGATGTATCACAGACACAACAGATCCACACACTCACCCTCGCACACACACACCATCGACAAACACATAGACCACTTGTTTACGCCAGTAGGAAACCAACAGGCTGCATGCACTACTACTGACTGTCTGTATGTCTTTGTCTTTCTCTGTCTCTCTTTCAAAAGACACGACTACTTTAGAAAAAAACTGATGCTACGTGCGTAAACAAGAACAGACCACTCTACAGAAAAAACAGGAGCATCAATTACTACACGTGAATGATTATGCGTACGCTACAACATCGTGAAATAATAAATAAACAGTGTGTGCATTCGCTAGTTTAGATGTCCCAGAAAGAGGAAAAGTATATTTTAAGCGTACTTTTCGCAAATCACAGTGTGATATTCACGTAATAGAGCACACAAAGGTTATTAACCCTTCTTTGATCCGCGGATAATGCACCAGAATCATAGTCGTTTCTGATAAAGTTGAATTAAAAAAAAAAAAAAAAAAAAAAACTGAGCATGACTTAAGGTTACAAATAGTGTTATTGTGTTGTTTGCTCATATTTCTCACAAATGAGACAACTTTTCTAGTAATTTATTGCGACTATAGATACCAGATGCTCCTTCTAAATAAACAGTGGAATATTCTTGGAGCTTTGCTAATCAACCGATACTGACTACATTATCTCTCATGTGCCAGGTGGTAAATGAAAATATCTGTCACTGTATGCAGAGAAAACGGGCCACTAGCAACAACCGGCTAGTTGCTGTTGGTCTGGAGTCCAGTATTTGGCTCTAGGAATAAACATCGGAACCTGGCCAAACCCTTGAAGCCTCCTCCCCCACCCTCCCACTACAGATTGTAATGTATTTTCTATATTTCTCTTCCATTCACCATATTCTCCTAATTTTGAGCTTAAATTCACCCCTCCCCTTTTTCCCCCGTTGAATTATGGGGGGGGGGGGGGGGGGGTGAGGCTTGCAGCTCCCCCACCCAAATAATTTCTTTTTGTCGGCGTCCAAGGCTCCAGTGTTATTGGGATGGCAAGTCGATGTTCCTAGGGAGTGACTCGGCACACACAATCATTCCTTTGACATGCAAATATTATTAGTAATCTTTTATTGTACGATGAGCAAATATGTAAAACGTTTTTTTTTTTTTGTTTTTTTGTAAATTCAGTACACACGAAAATTAAAAAAATAAATAAAAATAAAATAAAAATAAAAAACTCGTTTACAACACGTGACAAGAAAAATAAGGAGATGGCATTGAACACAAAATGGAACCAAACAGGTGAGAATGAGGCAGGTCATGGACTGAGCTACGTCACCAGAAAGTAAACTTAAACAACAAATATAAAGGACAACACTTACAAGACACGAAGCTGTATGCCCGTAGAATTCAAACAGCACACATTTAGAGACTCAGCCTGGTTCACAACTGGACCTAAGGCCTAGTCATATGAATACAATTGGTTCCCTCCCCAAGTGATTTCAAATGCGACCGCTTAGAGCCTGTAATACCCACCTACATTGGAATACAGATTACTTGGTGGTAACCGTCGGGTTTTTCGATTGAGTTGGGTTTCTGGGATGTGCCCCTGCTGGATTTTCATCCTAAAAGTCTGTCTTTGAGTCAATGGGTGTTATTCTATTATAATGCAAAGAATGTAAGCTGTTGTCGATCGATTCATTGAATATGAGTACCGGCTACCTTCTAGTAGGTTCTAGTAAGAATAAGCAATGAGTAATGTAGGTAAACATCTACTCTCGTTATGTGTTAACTAAAATACGAAGGCTAACCTCTTGATATCTATATGACATGATGTTACAGTGTTATACTATTATAATTCTATGTAATAATTACAAAAAATTATGGGGTAGCAACTATCATGCCGTTACACTTTGAATATCGTTAGCATAGTGCATTGAAAATATGTAGTGTATGTGGATTTTGGCATATATATCTCTGCCCCCCCCCCCCCCAAAAAAAAAAAAAAACGTTATGGCAGCAATACTTCTATCGTGATCGGTTTAAGTTATGAGTTATACACTTTTAAAGATAACACAGTGGTTAACAGGACTTGCGGTAGTGCAATGGGTATACTGCTTACCTGCCGGTCGGGAGTTCATGTGCTCCAATCCCCATTGAGAAAAGAATATATTATCCTATTGATCCGAACAGACGGAATAAGATACCCAAATTGTTTATCTACTTCATTTAAAAACAAAAACAAATAAAAGTGACGAAAATGACAGAAATTCCGTTATACTGACTAAAAGACCACAAAAGGGGGAAGAACTCAAGATCATGCAAGAACGAGAAACAGAACAATGGAAAGATAATCACCGCATGGCCCCATCATATACATGAGTATCCCTGTTGTAGAGTCAGAAACAATAAACATAGTGGATAAATATCCAGTAGTAGTGACTTTCACATTTATGAATATTCAAAGTCACTCAAAGATGTAGAATACAAAAACGAAAGGCGTTTACATATTAGTTAACACAGATTGCGTATTTCTAACACAAATTTTGAAGAGCAGTTGAGGCATTTCTTAACGTAAACATTCTTTGTTATAAACTCAGAAGTCGTCCCCTCATGGGATGTAATTTTGTGTGTGTTTTTTTGAAGCTCCACCCTGGCTTTTGCCGGGGGCCATGAATATAGCCGGGCCATAGATATGGCCTAACTATAGATATAGCCTAACGGTTGAAAGGGGTTTCTGGGACCTTTTCACTGGTGATCCTCATCCGCATGGTGGTACTTTGTGTCACCAGGTGTTTATCGCTTGTGTGATGTCCTGGTGGGGTACAACTACCTACCTGCCTGGTATAAACTGTTGTGGTGGTGTATAACTACCTACCTGGTATAAACTGTTGTGATGTTGTGGTGGTGTATAACTACCTACCTACCTGGTATAAACTGTTGTGGTGGTGTATAACTACCTACCTACCAGGTATAAACTGTTGTGATGGTGTATAATTACCTACCTACCTGGTATAAACTGTTGTGGTGGTGTATAACTACCTACCTGCCTGGTATAAACTGTTGTGGTGGTGTATAACTACCTACCTGCCTGGTATAAACTGTTGTGGTGGTGTATAACTACCTACCTGGTATAAACTGTTGTGGTGGTGTATAACTACCTACCTGCCTGGTATAAACTGTTGTGATGGTGTATAACTACCTACCTACCTGGTATAAACTGTTGTGATGGTGTATAACTACCTACCTACCTGGTATAAACTGTTGTGATGGTGTATAACTACCTACCTACCTGGTATAAACTGTTGTGGTGGTGTATAACTACCTACCTGCCTGGTATAAACTGTTGTGGTGGTGTATAACTACCTACCTGGTATAAACTGTTGTGGTGGTGTATAACTACCTACCTGCCTGGTATAAACTGTTGTGGTGGTGTATAACTACCTACCTGGTATAAACTGTTGTGGTGGTGTATAACTACCTACCTGCCTGGTATAAACTGTTGTGGTGGTGTATAACTACCTACCTGCCTGGTATAAACTGTTGTGGTGGTGCATAACTACCTACCTGGTATAAACTGTTGTGGTGGTGTATAACTACCTACCTGGTATAAACTGTTGTGGTGGTGTATAACTACCTACCTGCCTGGTATAAACTGTTGTGATGGTGTATAACTACCTACCTGGTATAAACTGTTGTGATGGTGTATAACTACCTACCTGGTATAAACTGTTGTGGTGGTGTATAACTACCTACCTGCCTGGTATAAACTGTTGTGATGTTGTGGTGGTGTATAACTACCTACCTACCTGGTATAAACTGTTGTGATGTTGTGGTGGTGTATAACTACCTACCTACCTGGTATAAACTGTTGTGATGTTGTGGTGGTGTATAACTACCTACCTACCTGGTATAAACTGTTGTGATGTTGTGGTGGTGTATAACTACCTACCTACCTGGTATAAACTGTTGTGATGTTGTGGTGGTGTATAACTACCTACCTACCTGGTATAAACTGTTGTGATGTTGTGATGGTGTATAACTACCTACCTACCTGGTATAAACTGTTGTGATGGTGTATAACTACCTGCCTGGTATAAACTGTTGTGATGTTGTGGTGGTGTATAACTACCTACCTACCTGGTATAAACTGTTGTGATGTTGTGGTGGTGTATAACTACCTACCTGCCTGGTATAAACTGTTGTGATGGTGTATAACTACCTGCCTGGTATAAACTGTTGTGATGTTGTGATGGTGTATAACTACCTACCTACCAGGTATAAACTGTTGTGATGTTGTGGTGGTGTATAACTACCTACCTACCTGGTATAAACTGTTGTGGTGGTGTATAACTACCTACCTACCTGGTATAAACTGTTGTGATGTTGTGGTGGTGTATAACTACCTACCTACCTGGTATAAACTGTTGTGGTGGTGTATAACTACCTACCTACCTGGTATAAACTGTTGTGATGGTGTATAACTACCTACCTACCTGGTATAAACTGTTGTGATGGTGTATAACTACCTACCTGGTATAAACTGTTGTGATGGTGTATAACTACCTACCTACCTAGTATAAACTGTTGTGATGGTGTATAATTACCTACCTACCTGGTATAAACTGTTGTGATGTTGTGATGGTCTATAACTACCTACCTGCCTAGTATAAACTGTTGTGGTGGTGTATAACTACCTACCTACCTAGTATAAACTGTTGTGGTGGTGTATAACTACCTACCTACCTGGTATAAACTGTTGTGATGTTGTGGTGGTGTATAACTACCTACCTGGTATAAACTGTTGTGATGGTGTATAACTACCTACCTGGTATAAACTGTTGTGATGGTGTATAACTACCTACCTACCTGGTATAAACTGTTGTGATGGTGTATAATTACCTACCTGCCTGGTATAAACTGTTGTGATGGTGTATAATTACCTACCTACCTAGTATAAACTGTTGTGATGGTGTATAATTACCTACCTAGTATAAACTGTTGTGATGGTGTATAACTACCTACCTGGTATAAACTGTTGTGGTGGTGTATAACTACCTACCTACCTGGTATAAACTGTTGTGATGGTGTATAATTACCTACCTGCCTGGTATAAACTGTTGTGATGGTGTATAATTACCTACCTACCTAGTATAAACTGTTGTGATGGTGTATAATTACCTACCTACCTGGTATAAACTGTTGTGATGTTGTGATGGTCTATAACTACCTACCTGCCTAGTATAAACTGTTGTGGTGGTGTATAACTACCTACCTACCTAGTATAAACTGTTGTGGTGGTGTATAACTACCTACCTACCTGGTATAAACTGTTGTGATGTTGTGATGGTCTATAACTACCTACCTGCCTAGTATAAACTGTTGTGATGGTGTATAACTACCTACCTGCCTAGTATAAACTGTTGTGGTGGTGTATAACTACCTACCTACCTGGTATAAACTGTTGTGATGGTGTATAACTACCTACCTAGTATAAACTGTTGTGATGGTGTATAACTACCTACCTACCTGGTATAAACTGTTGTGATGGTGTATAATTACCTACCTGCCTGGTATAAACTGTTGTGATGGTGTATAACTACCTACCTACCTGGTATAAACTGTTGTGATGTTGTGATGGTCTATAACTACCTACCTGCCTAGTATAAACTGTTGTGGTGGTGTATAACTACCTACCTACCTAGTATAAACTGTTGTGGTGGTGTATAACTACCTACCTACCTGGTATAAACTGTTGTGATGTTGTGGTGGTGTATAACTACCTACCTACCTGGTATAAACTGTTGTGATGTTGTGATGGTCTATAACTACCTACCTGCCTAGTATAAACTGTTGTGGTGGTGTATAACTACCTACCTACCTGGTATAAACTGTTGTGATGTTGTGATGGTCTATAACTACCTACCTGCCTAGTATAAACTGTTGTGGTGGTGTATAACTACCTACCTGCCTAGTATAAACTGTTGTGGTGGTGTATAACTACCTACCTGCCTAGTATAAACTGTTGTGGTGGTGTATAACTACCTGCCTGGTATAAACTGTTGTGATGGTGTATAACTACCTACCTACCTGGTATAAACTGTTGTGATGGTGTATAACTACCTACCTGCCTGGTATAAACTGTTGTGATGGTGTATAACTACCTGCCTGGTATAAACTGTTGTGGTGGTGTATAACTACCTACCTGGTATAAACTGTTGTGATGGTGTATAACTACCTACCTACCTGGTATAAACTGTTGTGGTGGTGTATAACTACCTACCTGCCTGGTATAAACTGTTGTGGTGGTGTATAACTACCTACCTGCCTGGTATAAACTGTTGTGGTGGTGTATAACTACCTACCTGGTATAAACTGTTGTGGTGGTGTATAACTACCTACCTGCCTGGTATAAACTGTTGTGATGGTGTATAACTACCTACCTACCTGGTATAAACTGTTGTGGTGGTGTATAACTACCTACCTACCTGGTATAAACTGTTGTGGTGGTGTATAACTACCTACCTGCCTAGTATAAACTGTTGTGGTGGTGTATAATTACCTACCTACCTGGTATAAACTGTTGTGATGGTGTATAACTACCTACCTGCCTGGTATAAACTGTTGTGGTGGTGTATAATTACCTACCTGCCTGGTATAAACTGTTGTGGTGGTGTATAACTACCTACCTACCTGGTATAAACTGTTGTGGTGGTGTATAACTACCTACCTGCCTAGTATAAACTGTTGTGGTGGTGTATAACTACCTACCTACCTGGTATAAACTGTTGTGATGGTGTATAACTACCTACCTACCTGGTATAAACTGTTGTGGTGGTGTATAACTACCTACCTACCTAGTATAAACTGTTGTGATGTTGTGATGGTGTATAACTACCTACCTGCCTGGTATAAACTGTTGTGGTGGTGTATAACTACCTACCTACCTGGTATAAACTGTTGTGGTGGTGTATAATTACCTACCTACCTGGTATAAACTGTTGTGGTGGTGTATAACTACCTACCTACCTGGTATAAACTGTTGTGGTGGTGTACAACTACCTACCTACCTGGTATAAACTGTTGTGATGTTGTGATGGTGTATAACTACCTACCTGCCTGGTATAAACTGTTGTGGTGGTGTATAATTACCTACCTGGTATAAACTGTTGTGGTGGTGTATAACTACCTACCTGCCTGGTATAAACTGTTGTGATGTTGTGATGGTGTATAACTACCTACCTACCTAGTATAAACTGTTGTGGTGGTGTATAACTACCCACCTACCTAGTATAAACTGTTGTGATGTTGTGATGGTGTATAACTACCCACCTACCTAGTATAAACTGTTGTGATGTTGTGATGGTGTATAACTACCCACCTACCTAGTATAAACTGTTGTGATGTTGTGATGGTGTATAACTACCTACCTACCTAGTATAAACTGTTGTGATGTTGTGGTGGTGTATAACTACCTACCTACCTGGTATAAACTGTTGTGATGTTGTGGTGGTGTATAACTACCTACCTACCTGGTATAAACTGTTGTGATGGTGTATAACTACCTACCTACCTGGTATAAACTGTTGTGGTGGTGTATAACTACCTACCTACCTGGTATAAACTGTTGTGATGTTGTGGTGGTGTATAACTACCTACCTGCCTAGTATAAACTGTTGTGGGATGCAAGTTTTCGTTATTTTGAAACCCCACCCTGGCTGATGCCGGGGGCCTTTATATAACCTAACAATTGAACGAGGTTTTCGTGACCTCTCATCCGCATGGTGGCACTTTGTGTCACCGGGTGTTTATCGCTCTGCTTGATGTCCTAATGGGGTAAAATTTGCTTACTTTCTTACTGTTATAAATTAAACTACGCAATTTTGTGTTATGTTAAAGCCCCACCATGGCTTTTACCGGGGGCCCTAAAATTCCAACCTATGGTTTGAACGGGATTTCTATGACCTGTCCCCGGGTGATGCTCATCCGAGTGGTGGTACTTTGTGTCACCGGGTGTTTTTCGCGCACGGTGATGTGCTACTGGGGTCATACACTTGACTCACTAGTAACGTATTATCTGATGTAGGCGTCTGACGAGACTGTAGTAAGTACGGTCGCTGGCAGTCCCGCTGAAGAAATACAATGAGCACATACCAATACCGGCTTACAGAAATTAGGATCATAAATTATACACCACACTAGACACAGCACAGTAAGGACCCTTACATCTCCCATCAACACTTCTCTGTGAGTTCACTGGCGGTAGACAAGAATAAGAAAGAGTCATTTGGCCGTGGGATGAGACAAGTATGGAAAACATGCTGACAGAGATTAGCGGCAAAATAGACAGTTACCCTAGGTCATGTGTTGAGAGAAGCTTGGGAGAACACGCTGATGGATTGAGAGATCAGATGTAGAGAGACAGTGTTCCTTGGCCATGTATTGACAGAAGTATGGGAGAACACGCTACTGGATGGAGAGATTAGCGTTAGAAGAAACAGAAACAGACCGACAGAACTAATAAGCCAGAAAATCAAGGACCGAAATCTGCGCAGAGGTATGAACGATTACGCCTCTGACAAGTGAAATTATGAGTGCAAGATATCGTCGTCGCCATTGACCTCTGGGTCGTCATTATCGACCTCTTCATCGTCATCATCGACCTCTTCGTCGTCGTCATCGACCTCTGCGTCGTCATCATCGACCTTTGCGTCGTCATCATCGACCTTTGCGTCGTCATCATCGACCTCTTCGTCGTCATCATCGACCTCTTCGTCGTCGTCATCGACCTCTGCGTCGTCATCATCGACCTTTGCGTCGTCATCATCGACCTTTGCGTCGTCATCATCGACCTCTTCGTCGTCATCATCGACTTCTTCGTCGTCATCATCACGATTGTCACCATCATCATAATCCGGTGCTGCTGTTTACGTCACACAATGTTCGCAGTCCAGTCGCCATTCCGCTCTAAACTGTGCAGTCAATTCGATTTACTGGATTCAATCCTGCCAAGCACCTTTGGCCTCTCTCAGAAACGTGCGCCTTAGAGTTTTTCTGGGATGTCCTTGTTTCTTCAAGCCAGCTGTTGTATATTTCAATGCCTTTTCAGTTAGTCTACCCACGTCTCCTCATGATGCCCCGCCCCCTCCCACAAAACCCCCATGTCTTTTACTGCCAGCCTTTCTTGAAATCCTCTAATTTCAAATTTAAGATAAACCAGAAGAAGAAACAAATGATGCATAAAGAGACAAAGCCTGCAAGAGTAGATGTTAAGCTGTGTTCCCATCGGTATTGTCCATCTCCGTTAGCTGTTCCAATGGTGTTATATGGCTCTGACAGACGGGCAATAGATACAAGCAATGAACACACAAAGACGTTTATGTAAAAAGACAAGAAATAGCAGGACTGTGAATCTGGAACATGAAACCATTTTGGAAATTATAACAGCACAATAGTAGTTCTTAGAATGTTAAAAAAGCTGCTATGTATACATATGAATGAGTGGGTTTGTATGTGCACAAAGTTCAGGATTTACTGATTTTTTCCGCTTGGCACTTTGGTCATAGATCCGGATACCGTTTCTGTTTACACCAGTATGGGTCACATTTCAGTCAATCTACCGGAATGTCCAAGTATATACACAGAGAAAATAATTGAATGCAAAACAATCATAATACTAATTTATTACCCAATGAAACATAAATGTGGTGTCTGTGCAGCTCAAGTATGAACATGACCATGTGCAGAACTTCTCTGTCTAGTTACAGGCGCAAATGTGATCAAGAGAATCTGGAGAATTTCGAGGTTAAGGACGCAATACATCGCGAGGAGGAGCTGGGTTCAAACACTTATGGTTTTAGCTGAAATAGTCCGGGGTATGTGACGCGTGGCCAGTCATTGGAAACAACTTGTACTGCTGCTGGAGGGACTGCTAGAAAACACTGATGATAGTGCAACAATTACACGAAGATATTGTAGACATGACTGCGTCTTAGCCAGTACGATTCCTGAAGATGTACTGGACGGACTTCCTCCTCCTACTTTTTCTTCACTTCTTTCATGACCCCAACCTCCATCCTCTGCTCCATCAGTATCATCACATCCTATCAGCATTCTTTCTACTTCAGGTTTGTTTGTTTTCAAAAGACATTTGCTCATAAGTCGGCCCAGGGTACCGGAAAATTTCCCGGGAGGTTGATGTGATGTTGACGACCATCACCTACCAAGTGCCGATTGGTCTATGAAACTATAGATCTACTATCATACACCCCGTGCGCAACTCATGTGAAAATGTTCCTTCATGTTTACATTACCAGCATGTTGTATCCTTGAATCAGAGACTTCACTGGCACCAGTTCAAAAGAAACTTCTCCGACCGTTGACTAAGCAAAGCTTGTTCTCTACTAGTGATTTACATTCAGTACAACCGACAACTCTTGTGCATGCACCACTAAAAGACAATATACAAAGAAATGCGTGTATGCATGTGTGCGGGTGCGATACATGCACGCCGTGGCGGTGATTGGGGTGTCTCTGCAATAAGGCCACTGTAAACACCCGAACACAAAACGACTCAAGGTGTTTGCAGATGACAGGCACAGACAAAACTTCAGAGACAGACATTCACCTTTCATCTTGCTCTGCTCGTACACCTGTCTGGCCAGCTCTGAGTTCTGACTAGACGCTGCTGAAAGACTGCTCAGCTCCAAACTGAGACCACTGTCTCCGCCACAGCGGGACCCCTCCCAGCTGGTGCCGCCTCCGCCAGTGTTGTCGCTGTCTTCTCTACATGTTGTAAAAAAAAACAAAAAACTATGCAATTAAAATTGTTACTACATTCAAACGACGAAAAAAAAACTAACAGCTCAGTGAGCACTCTGTGATATAGAGGTAAGCATTCTACCCACCGGCCTGAGGACTGCGGGTTCGAATCCGTGACAATTCAGGAACCCCCTCCCGCCCCTCCGCCCCGTTCTCCTAGAAATTACATTGGCTGCCAAGTCGGCTAAGCCTAAAGTGGGCACTAGGCAAAATCCTAGGAATTATAAGCGGTCGGTGTGCTAGTCTATAGGATATAAGTCTATAAAATATGCCCGACGCGTTAGTGGCGTGAAAAAGGTTCCCTAATCATATTATACAAGCTGTATATAAAGATAGCGAAGAAATGACATAATTTTCACATTACCCTTCAGCCATTTTAATATGAGCGTTACTGGTACTTTCATTTACTTTAGCAGATTAAACTGATTTTGTTCTTGCCAAAGTGCATCAGGCGAGGAGTTGGTAGTCATGTCTATCCTCAATATTCTGTCTCGTTTACTGTCAATCGGCTCTGACACATTACCCTCCATACCAATATATCAACATGTCCAGTACCTGTTCTCTCGGTATCCCTCTGCCTATCATTCCCTCCAACTTTCCTACAGTCACAATTTTCTCCACTTTTCTGCTTCTCATCACATGACCAAAGAATGTAGATGGTCTCTTTCTGATGTGGGCAATGAGTTCTCTTCGTGAATCAGTGTCTTTCAAGACACTTCATTACTCTTTTTATCTGTCCAAAGTGTTCTTATCATTCGTCTATAAAAGTAAATCTCCGCAGCTTAAAATTGACTGATATTACAAATTGACATAATGATGATTTTAACGTTGATGACTGAAGCGATGTTGATGATTTAGATGAGGTGAAGAATTAGTAATCGAATGACGATCATGATTGTGGCGATACTGACGATCAGATGATGATAATGATGATGGTTAATATCAAGAAGCTGTATTATTTCTTTCTCACTAGATTCATGTTTCGCAGCCACCTATGAGAAGCACACAGAGGAGAACTTTCTCTCCCGAAAGCTGGGGTATGTTTGACATGACAAGCGCTATAGTGGTGGTCTGATGAGAACAGCGATATAGGCTGCAGTTTCCGGAAAACGAGGCAGAGGTCGACCACCGCGAAGGTGGGTACAGGACAGTGAAGATGGATTGGCTATGAAAGCACATAGGGCTGAAGAACTGGCTAGAGAAAAAGAAGTACAGGCGTGCCGCGAGGAGAGAGAGACATGCTGACTGATGATGATGGGACACCTTTTGTGTTTGGGGTGCTCGACCAGGTGCTGCGGAATGTTCCAGTCAGATTAATGTGCAATCAAAAGATTCCTCTAAGGTCAACAGTTATGACAATGTTCATGTTTTTGACGATGTTGCTGGTTATTAAAGACTGATTACTAATGTTAGATATAACATTCGGCAAATGTGGATCACAATGATGTTTCTGATCCTGAAAATTCTGGCGATATAGATCATTCTGGTGAAGACAATGGTGACAGTCATGATATTCGTGATTACAGGAATATTGATAGTGATGGCGACAGTGATAATTACAGTTATGAAGCCAGTTATGAAGACAGTAGGATGACAGTAATGATGCCAATAATAAAGACAGGATGGCAGTAATGATGTCAGTAATGAAGACAGTAGGATGACAGTAATGATGCCACTAATGAAAACAGTAGGTTGACAGTAATGATGCCAATAATGAAGACAGTAGGATGACAGTAATGATGCCAGTAATGAAGACAGTAGGATGACAGTAATGATGCCACTAATGAAAACAGTAGGATGACAGTAATGATGCCACTAATGAAAACAGTAGGATGACAGTAACGATGCCATTAATGAAAACAGTAGGATGACAGTAATAATGCCAGTAATGAAGACAGTAGGATGACAGTAATGATGCCAGTAATGAAGACAGTAGGATGACAGTGATGATGCCAGTAATTACGACAATATGATGACAGTAATGATTCCAGTAATTAGGACAGTAGGATGACAGTCATGATGCCAGTAATGAAGACAGTAGGATGACAGTAATGATGCCCGTAATGAAAACAGTAGGATGACAGTAATGATGCCAGTAATAAAAACAGTTGGATGACAGTAATGATGCCAGTAATAAAAAACAGTAGGATGACAGTAATGATGCCAGTAATGAAGACAGTAGGATGACAGCAATGATGCCAGTAATGAAGACAGTATAATGACAGTAATTATGCCAGTAATTAAGACAGTGGGATGACAGTAATGATGCCAGCAATGAAGACAGTATCAATAAAAATAATGATGTCAGTAATGCTGTCAGTGATAATGAGAGCGGCGATGACAGCGATGACAGTGAGGATACCAGTGATGAGGGAAGTGCAGACGACAGTACTGATGACAATAATGATGACAGTAATGCTGTCAGTGATAATGACAGCGGCGATGACAGTGAGGATACCAGTGATAAGGGAAGCGCAGACGGCAGTACTAATGACAATAATGATGACAGTGACAAAAACTGTGTCAGCTCTAACCTGGACTCCCGGCTACCTCGACTGTCCCGACTGGAGGTTTGTGAAAAGCTGGAAGTCATGGACGCGTCCATGCTGGACACCAACAGGTTGTCCAGCTGCGAAACATACAAAACCTCAACTAGGATACTTCATGAAAGAAAAGACATACAATGAAGCAAGAATCTTTATTGTTAAATGAAATATACATTACTTAACTGCAAAAGTGGAATATCATAATTATGTACCAGTACTACACTTGAATGGGAGTCGCTGTGGCGGAGCGGCTAGACGCTCGCCGCGGATCAGAAGGTCGTGGGTTCGCTCCCTGGCGGGGCCGTTCTTTTTTCAAAAATGACTTTGGCTCCCAGGTCGACCCAGCCTTAAGTGGGTACCAGGTGCAGTCCCGGGAAGTTAAGGCGGCCGGCGTGATGCTGACCACATCACCCATCTTGTGCCGATTGGTTTATAAAATACGGGTCTAGCCCTGTATGCCCTATGCGCCTAAAGGCGTGGAAAAGGGTCCTTACTACACTTGAATTACAGTGACAGACAAAGTGGTAACAGCGACACGTCATCACTTGTTTGCCAGAGAGGTAGGATATTGCGTCTTAGTTAAAGGAACCGAAAATCAACATGTCTTGGTAACCTTGACATTCCTTTTCTTGTACTATCACATGTAGGGAGATATTTGCAAATCAATAATATATAAACAGTATCTGATGGAATATTTGTTGATGTACCATATCAAAGAGAGACAGCCTTGAACCCAGAAGACCAACTGTCAAATTAACTGGCGTATTTTAGTTCAGAGTTATCTGATGCAATAGAGATGTAATTAGACAACCCTACGCACGTAAGAATAAAAAAAGTAAACAATTAAGCCCACAAGAATCTTCTAAAAAAAATAGTGAGTAGAAATAAACACACTCCACACACGCCAGCGACTCAGTATAAATTTTGGGTTGGAAACCAGCGCCGTTAGCCTACTCTTTTCGATTTCCAACTGCCATGGGATTTTGTTACGTATGCAACAATGCACTTGGGCCTCCGATCTTACTCCCCCGAGGCTAGGGGGAATTACTAGATGTCCATGTGAAAACATCCCAGCCTTCACAGGGGCTTGAACCCTGGAAGCCATGCCTAGAGGCCACGCAACTCTAACTTCCCCTTGTCAATTTGTGTTGTTAGGAATATTGTAACCATTTATTTAGTTAAAGGTAAAAATACTTGTACACAAACACGCACTGAAGCAGACAGTCACACATATACTGTAGACATACAAACACACGTGTAAGCACACAGGCAGACGAACTATTGTCAGTGACAAAACACCAGACGTGGACGAACCCCTCTGGTCCTATCAGAATTTGGGCCGGTGATAATCTGTTTCTCCAGAGGCAGTTCTGACTCCGGGTGGTAGCCATGATACCACATACCCGTAGTCGTCATCAGCCGCCTCCGTTTGTCGCACACCACACACACCCACTCCTGTATCTGTCGACAGATTAACAGAATATGCCATTGAAACAACAACAACAACAACAACAACAACAACAACAATAACAACAACAACAACAACAACAACAAAGTCAAACAGAGGGTATCCAAGAACCGGTAAATTTCACAATCACACATAATTACGACGACAAATGGGCGTTGCGGTTAAACCGTTTTATCAAATACAGCACAGACAAAGAAACATCCTCCTCATCAAGTGGCCTTGTCCACTGGCAAGGGCGATCATGCCTCCCTGCAATTTGCGATCTGCAACTGCTTGTGTCAGTTCGTGTGTTGACACCACTTCATGACATGACAAAAGCCTATCAAGAATCTTCTCGCAGGGTCTCCCTCTGTCTCTCTTTCCTCAAATCTTTCCAGTGGTCACACCATTTTCTAGACTCCTTCTTCTCCTAAATAATGACTCTCTCTTTCTGATGTTTGTGATAAGTTGTCTTAGAGCTCTCGCCCCCTTTTCCTAAACCAAATGGTTCGAAAGCAGAGTCGATCAAGATCCCAGGTTCCACCTGCGTTTTCTATTCTTTCACACAAGCCAGAGTTATTGTATAATATTAAATTTTCACACAATGACAAAGATTTGTCAGTCCCTTCGTTGGAGATGATCAGACAGAAGAGATATGATCAAATTAGGCATCTTGGCACGCTACAGTATCCTGCCCGCCAACCCGCCTCGGCCAGCGATAATCGCAGCCAGAACATAGGGGAGATAATTAAACACAAGGGGAACTAATTGATTGTGACAGGAAGGCAAACAAGATTGAAAAATCATGTTACATAAAACATGTTGGACTCCACACATGATTACCGACGGGGATCTGGCATACGATGGTCGTGGGGACGCGAACCTGGTTTAATCTGTGCTAATACTGTTTACAGAAGCATAGTTAAATTAAATGAATGCTATAACTTAAACGACCTAAATATAGGGAGGTTTAATTATTAAAGCAGACATATTTTGTGGCGTAAATCTCAGCCTTCCAGGTCCATCGTTACCTCTCTGTCTGCTTCACAAACATGTTTACTTATTCCTTACTTACGTCCTTTTCAGGACGTAATTTTTTCTTATTTGAAGCCCCAGTCTGGCTTTTGCCAGGGGCCGCAATATAGGCAGGCCATCAATATGGCCAATTGTCTGAACGCGGTTTCTGGGACCTCTCCACGGTGATCCTCATCCGCATGGTGGCACTTTGTGTCATCGGGTGTTTGTCGCTTGTGTGATGTCCTGGTGGGGTAGAAAGTCAGTCAGTCAGACAAACATGTTGAAGCTACTCAAGTCATCTCCTTGTGGGATGACATTTTTTGTTTTTAGGAACCCCTACACTGGCTTTTGTCAGGGGCCGCAATATAGCTCGGCCTTAAAAATGGTCTAATGGCTGAACGCGCTTTCCGGGACTCTCCACGGGTGATCCTCACCCACATAATGTCACTTTGAGTCATCGGGTGTTTATTGCTTGTGTGATGCCCTAACGGGTTTTAATGTACTACTACTACTACAAATATGCCTTTATTATCTACGCTTTCGTCATTCCGTTCTTATTCTTCTTCTATCTTCTCCTTATGCGCTGTAGGGTCAGATCCCTTGATCTCCTGTCAAAATTTTTTTTTAATGGACCAAAAGGCTCCATTGAACCATGTATAGGCATTTTCTCTAAATCCCTTTATTTACACATTTTATATTATTCAAGCATATTATTATATTTGTGCGTTATTCAGCATATTAACGATAATAACAACAATGATAATGTGTAGAATGACAAATACCTATATCAATATATTTTGAATGTTGGAGGGGGTCGGGGGAGGTAACTCAAAATCGGGAGGGGTTCAGTCCCAATGTTTTCTTTGTGTCGACGAACGTGATTTTTCTTCTTCTTCTTTTTCTTCTTCTTCTTCTTCTTCTTCTTCTTCTTCTTCTTCTTCTTCTTCTTCTTTTTATTCTTCTTCCTTTTCTTCTTCCTTTTCTTCTTCCTTTTCTTCTTCTTTTTCGTCTTCTTCTTCTTCTTCTTCTTCTTCTTCTTCTTCTTCTTCTTCTTCTTCTTCTTCTTCTTCTTCTTCTTCTTCTTCTTCTTCTTCTTCTTCTTCTTCTTCTTCTTCTTCTTCTTCTTCTTCTTCTTCTTCTTCTTCTTCTTCTTCTTCTTCTTCTTCTTCTTCTTCTTCTTCTTCTTCTTCTTCTTCTTTTTCTTCGTCTTCTTCTTTTTTATCTTCTTCTTCTTATTCTTCCAATTCTTCTTCTTCTTCTTCCTCTTCTTCTACCTCATTCTCTTCCTCCTATTTCTTCCTCTTCTTCCTCTTCTTTCTTTCTTTCTTTCTTTCTTTCTTTCTTTCTTTCTTTCTTTCTTTCTTTCTTTCTTTCTTTCTTTCTTTCTTTCTTTCTTTCTTTCTTCCTTTTTTTTCTTTCTTTCTTTCTTTCTTTTTTTTTTTTTTTATTTCTTTCTTTCTTTCTTTCTTTTTCTTTCTTTCTTTCTTTCTTTCTTTCTTTCTTTCTTTCTTCTTTCTTTCTTTCTTTCTTCTCTTTCTTTCTTTCTTTCTTTCTTTTCTTTTTCTTTCTTCTTTCTCTTCTTCTTTCTTTCTTTCTTTCTTTCTTTTCTTTCATTCTTTCTTTTCTTCTTTTTTTTTTCTTTCTTTCTTTTCGTCTTCTTTCTTCTTCGTCTTCTTCTTCTTCTTCTTCTTCTTCTTCTTCTTCTTCTTCTTCTTCTTCTTCTTCTTCTTTTTCTTCTTCTTCTTCTTCTTCTTCTTCTTCTTCTTCTTCTTCTTCTTCTTCTTCTTCTTCTTCTTCTCTGTATCCTTCCCGTGGAGCAAAGGATCTGAAGAACTATATATATTGTTTGCCTCCTAGTGCAACTAACTCCACGTGCTCTTGATTATTCATCTCCGGTACCAGTTGTCTTCTCCCTGTTTTTCTGTTAAAACCCAAAACAAAAACGAAAAATACTGAGCGGGTCATACTTCTATGACAATTACCACAACATAAAGTCGACAGGCTGCCAATTATGTCTACGTGTCTCATACGTGGACGCCCAAATCTGGGTTAGGTAGGGGGGGGGGGGGGACTATGGTTCCTTGTCCCCTTTCAGAAAACTGGAATTGACTGACTGACTGACTTTCTACCCCACTAGGACATCACACAAGCGATAAACACCCGATGACATGATGTGCCACCATGTGGATGAAGATCACCGTGGAGAGGTCCCAGAAACCGCGTTCAGCCAGTGGGCCATATTTATGGCCTGGCTACATTGCGGCCCCTGGCAAGAGCCAGGGTGGGGCTTGAAATAACAAAAAAATTTCATCCTAAAAAGGACGGCAAATAACTGGAATTCGGGTATTGGGGAGAAAAAGGGGGGAAGAGGGAGAAGCCGATAAACATTCGCTCGTCATAACAATCTACACATGTTCTCTTTGAATATTTGTGTTTAGATATATTATACGTTTTCAAGTTAATATGTTAATTTTCTATTCAGCACATGATGATGACGATACTGATGATGACGATGATGATGATGATATGATGATGATGATGATGATGATGATGATAATGATATAAGGCACTGGTACATAAACAGGACTGAGACTCTTCGAGACTCCAACACTTGAGATCAACGGTTCTCGACCTGTAGGTCTCGGCGTTAGAAAGGTTGAGAAGCGTTGATTTAGACAATATGCAAAAAGGCTGTAAACCCACTCTGACAACACCTCACCCCACCCCTAAACCCCATCCCACATTCCAACTTTTCTTTCTGTTGGCACGTCTGCATATATGAGTATTACAATCTCGGTCCTCTTCTTTCTGACCACGTCATACCCTAGCATTCAACACTTCCACCTTCGTTCTCTTCTTTCTGACCACGTCATACCATAGAATTAACACTTTTATCTCCGTCCTCTTCTTTCTGACCACGTCATACCCTAGCATTCAACACTTCCACCTTCGTTCTTTTCTTTCTGACCACGTCATACCCTAGCATTCAACACTTCCACCTTCGTTCTTTTCTTTCTGACCACGTCATACCCTAGCATTCAACACTTCCACCTTCGTTCTCTTCTTTCTGACCACGTCATACCATAGAATTAACACTTTTATCTCCGTCCTCTTCTTTCTGACCACGTCATACCATAGCATTAACACTTTTATCTCCGTCCTCTTCTTTCTGATCATGTCATACCATAGCATTAACACTTTTATCTCCGTCCTCTTCTTTCTGACCATGTCATACCCTAGTATTCAACACTTCAATCTCCGTCCTCTTCTTTCTGACCACGTCATACCCTAGTATTCAACACTTCAATCTCCGTCCTCTTCTTTCTGACCATGTCATACCCTAGCATTAACACTTTTATCTCCGTCCTCTTCTTTCTGACCACGTCATATCCTAGTATTCAACACTTTTATCTCCGTCCTCTTCTTTCTGACCACGTCATACCATAGCATTAACACTTTTATCTCCGTCCTCTTCTTTCTGACCATGTCATACCATAGCATTAACACTTTTATCTCCGTCCTCTTCTTTTTGATCATGTCATACCCTAGTATTCAACACTTTTATCTCCTTCCTCTTCTTTCTGACCATGTCATACCCTAGCATTCAACACGGCCCAAGACTAATTACTGACAACACATCGATTGGTGCCGGTGATTTGTGCCTTCTTCTCAAAGTCTCAAGCCGGTGCCGTCTACAATCAAGACTTCAGAGCGGGCAGGAACCCATCAAGTTGTGGACAGCCTGGTCCCTCTCCTGCTCGCTGTCACCGCCTAACGAGGTCTATCCCCGCTACAGAACCAGCTGGTCAATAATATAAAGTGGACGGAAAAGCTATTTCAAGCCACGGCTAATTACCTCACACTCACCTCACACAACTCGCCACAGGACGGTCTTTGAATCTGAAATTGTTTGTTGTTTGTCGTGTCAGACTTGTGAAAGTTAGGCTTGTACAGAAGATTGAGCACTGATAGATAACAAGACAGGGGACAGAGCACT